TTCATGAAATTCTTCTGTGTCTTCCAATTCCTTTTTATACAGTGACTCAGTATATTCTTTCTATCTTCTTTTAATACTTCCTGGATCATTTAACATTCTGCCGAAAGCATCCTTGATTATAGCAACTCGAGGTTTGAATTTTTCAGTTCCTTGAGCTTAAGATACGCTGAGCGAGTTCAGCCCTTTTGATTTTCTGACTCTAACTCCTTGCACATTTCGTGGTAATATTTTGCTTTGTCATACCTTTACCATTAAAGAAAATCTACAAAAGTTTTAAAGAAGATATTCTAATGGTAACGAGAAAGAAAGCACAACTTTTTACATACTATCATTATTTTTTCAATTTAAACCAGTTTTGCTTTGCAAAAAGATATACTCATGTCTTAAACTATTATTTCATTTGTTGTAAAATAATTAGCATAATGTGTTAATGTCTATAAGTTTACCTGTAAGAATGAATCTTTTTGACGTAATGGTATGCTCAGGAAGAGTGTCACATAACTTTCTGAAATTCTATCAAACAAGCAACCTTGACTTTCTTTGTCAGGCTTAAAAAAGAAAATATACATGAAATTATAAGTATCACAATTTATAATTAGAATTTGTTCCCTTAATATCAGTAATTTTATATCTTTTTACATGGAGATTATTTCGCATCATGCTGATCAGAATTTAAAAGATGGCTCAGCTTGTCACAAGCTATAATCACTCTGAACAATTAAGTCCTCATTGCCTCATCTGAAAAACACACATTTCAATTATATGTGTATCTATACCCTTAAAACAGTCTGTTGCTGCTAAGTGCCATTGAGTATGACTCATAGTGACCCTATGAACAACAGATCTGAGTCTTGTTTTATCCTGTGCCGTTCTCATCAGCTCTGACAGGTTTGAGCCCATAGCTGCATCATCTTGTTGAAGGTCTTCTTCTCTTTTGCTGAACCTTGACCTTTCCAAGCACGATGTCCCTCGCCAAGAAATCGTCTCTCCTACCAACATGCCCAAAGTACATGAGATGAAGCTTCACCACTCTTGCCTCGAAGAAGCATTTTGGATGAACTTTTTCAAAGATATATCTGTTTGGTTTTTTGCCATCTATGGTATATCCAGTATCATACTTCTCCAACACCATAATCAAAGGCATCAATTTTTCCTCTGTCATCTTTACTTACTGTCCAGCTCTCAGAGGTGTAACAATTGATAAAAGTCTGGCCTGAATCAGGTACACTTTTGTATTCAAACTAATATCATTGCTCCACAGAACTTTGGAGAGACCTTTGACAGCAGAAGTATCCAATGAGATATGTCTCCTGATCGCCTGATTGCTAGTATCAATAGTGTTGATTATGAAACCAAATGAGAAAAATCCTTGACAATTTCAATCTTTTCTCCATCTATCATGATGTTCCTTATCGGTCCAGTAATGACAATATTTTGTTTAAAAAAAGTTTAGGAAAAATATATTAAGACAAGGGGTATGCTTTGTTTGATTTTGCATTTCAAACCTTTTGCAGAGTACCTGGCAACAGAGCACTCAGATGTTGATGTATTAATAAAAGTTCTTGAATAGTAGTTGGAGGTTTAATCATAGGGTTGCACAATTTGATGGGTGGAGGGAGAGATGGGTAAAGGACATAAGAAAGATTTGGTGTGAGAACAAGACATATGAAATTTTTAAGTAAACTAGTATAAAATTTTTATTTAAAAAAATAGGCATGTTGTTGTTGTTGTTGTTATGTGCCGTCGAGTAGTTTGAGACTCATAGCGACCTTATGTACAACAGCCCTAAACCGTGCTCTATCCTGTGCCAATCTCATTGCTTCTGACACACCCATCCTGATTACCCCAGT